TTTGTCTGGGAGGATGGCAGCACTAGCTCGATACATCGGTAGGCCACGGCGAGTCATTGTAAGGGCCAGATATGCATTTAATCACCTCCAACGACGCTTAATGAAGTGGAATTCATGGTACATCCCTTAGGGATTGATTAAAGCTGAGAGCTTTTTTTTATTGCTCTGATAACAAGAGAGACCTATAGAAATTTGCCGATTTTGTGATCTCAAACAGTTTTGCTTCTTTGTAGGGTTTATACAAGCCAGTGGTTTCCGACAGATTTATAATTTCTGTTAGTCTAAAAAAGACGTTTGATTTCGTAATCCATTCTCGAGTAGATCAATAATCTGGAATCATCGATCAATAACATAGAGACGTTCAATCATAGCCACTTTTTATGAAATGGTTAATCTGAGATGCTGTACAGAATTTGATTTGTTCTTTACAATAACAAGGAGTTTATTTATTGTAAAACCACTCTTTCACTACGCTTACTGGTCACTGTGGTACAAATTTACTGTTTGCTGAAGCCATTGTTTTCCTTTAATCTTGGAACCAGACCTAGTAGTTGTGTAAAGTACGACTCATAGATTCTCTGAAAAATTTTGAATTTGTGCAGAATCACTAACTTCTCCCTACTGGCGTCGACAACGAGATTGGGAGCAATTTGCTTTATATTGGTTCTATGAGAGGACGAGTAGCGCAGTGGTAATGATGCCGCTCATCAAGACACACGGTATTGCTCCCATTTAGCCTCAGGCTCACCAAACTTCTCTTTTTTCTGGGGAACAAAACCTAGTACCAGACTTGTTTGGGAGTTGTTCACTCTCTGCAGTCCAAATGGGAACGCTCTTGCTCGGCTATCCCTGGTTTCCAGGGACCGTCGAGTCGACTAGCATTCAACGACGTTCATAAAAAAGATGACAATCGTCAAGCAGTAACTGAGCTCACACATGAAAAGTCGGGGGACGTTCGTGGATGATGGATGCGATGAAAACCATGGAATACGAAGCACCATCGTAAATGTGAATACGAGTTGTATAAGAAAAAAGATTAGTTCTTTGTGATTAATTTTCCTAGTTCCCTGATTGTTTAGACCTTTTTTCTCACTAGTGAGTTTTGTTCCAGCGCTTAAACTGTAAATATTTTGGAAAGAACGTGGCGCGTTAGGAAAACTCTCCGAAAGCGGCTTTGTCTGCGGCGGGTTTCTGAAGTTCTGAGCTTGATCTCACCTTATTTCCTTTGCATTCCAGGATGGTGTGGACGTCGATGAGTTCCTGCTAGAAGCTGCAGGGAAACTACAATGGCTACTGTGTACAAGTCCATTCGACAGCAATTTGAAGCGTCAGTCACAGTTGACTGGCACAGTCAAAGAGATTGGGCCGAGGTAGACTTTTAAGAAAAGTTGTCTTAGAGCATTCTTTGTTAATCAGTCTAATATCGCTCACAATTTCTTAGAAATTTCTCAGCCTGCAAGGAAAACCGCTTCATTTTGTGCTTGAGAACATTCGTTACAAAGACAGATTGTTCTGGAGAGCCTTTTTTCCAGTCACATACGTTGTTCAGAAATAAATGAGCTTCTTTGACCATGTTATTTAAAATGTTATAACTTGCTTCAAGCGAAGCCTTATTAATCAGTATGGAAACCTTTTAAATCTAACATTTAACGAGAAACCAGTTCGTTTATTCCAGTTGCATAAAATTCTGAGGCTCTGGAAACGATGAATTCGTTGAAGGCATTTTTTGCGTCATCGTAGTTGGTGAAGCATTTCTCGCGTAGGAAGCCGTCAAGGTGCCTGAAGAAGTTTTAGCCGATGAACCGAGAGGTCTGATGAATATGGCGGATGAGGCAAAGTTTTGTAGCCCAACTCGTTCAATTTCTGCAACGCTGGTTCCTCAACGTGAGGCCGGACGTTGTCTTGGAGTGAAGGATTGGACCTTTTCTAACGACTAATGCTGGTCGTTGCTGTTGGAGTTTACGACGCATTTCGTCGATCCGTTGGCACTATTTCTCTGCCGTAATCATTTTGCCTGTATTCAAAAAGCTGTGATGAATAAGCTCGGCTGGAGACCACAAAACGATCACCATAACTTTTTTTGGTGAAATTTTGGTTTTGGGAAATGTTGTGGGGCCTGATCGCATCGCAATCCAACCATTAAGCTGAACGTCGCCGGTTCTCGTACAGAATCCACTTCTCGTCGCACGTCACAATTCGATCAAGAAAAGGTTCGTTTTTGCTCCGCAGAATAAGAGCGGACGACACTTCAAAACGGCGTTTTTTGATTATCGTTTGATTCGTGTGGCACCCACTTGTCGAGTTTTTCGTTCTTCCTATACGATTTAAGTGAGTGGAAATTGTTCCTGTGCTTATGCCAAACTGTTTTACAAGCTTTCCAACAGTTGTTCGCGTATTTGCTTCCACTAGAGCCTCCAATTCGCCGTTGTCAAGTTGGCTGGGACGTCCGTGGTCTTCCTTCGCTTCAAGGTCAAAATCACCAGATCGGAATTTCCGGAACCATGTTCGCACTATTGATTCACCAGCACTACTTTCACCCCGAATGTCACCAATGTTTCGAGCCATCTCTGCTGCACTGCGACCGAGTTTGAACTGATAATAAAAAATTTGACGAAAATCCATTTTTGACATCTAAACTTGCAAAGCTCAAAATTGGTTGAAAAAAGGTGTCGATTTGTGCTCCCTAGATCAATCCCGTCGATGAGTGATTGCTCACTGCACTGATTGATAGAACTAGCTGAGAGATACGCGAAACGAAGGACCCGCACTGCGTGGTGGTGAACGAGTTAGCTCCCGGAAAGGCTAATAGCGCGTTTGTTTCCCACCGCAGACAGCTCCGGTCTGGAGTTTTGCAAATATCTCAGCATCAACAGGTTAGCAAAAGCATAAAATTGGCTTTCCAATGATTTATAATATTGCATGACACAAAGAATAATTTACTGGTAGAAAATATATTAAAACAACAAACATTTTAAACGCTCATTTAATTCTGAACAGCCTAGTATTTTAGTGTGCTTTCTAATACATTTACGGATTGCTGTAATCCTAAAAAGCGACTCCAACCAAAAAGGTAAGTAGACAATAAGAAAATTGGCATCTTAGTACCATTAATATCTTAGGAATAGATATGTTACGAAAAAGAAAACAGTACGAGATCACTAAAGGATATAAACTATGAGAGGATTCATTTCCCTTACCACATGAAGTACGATCAACATCTCTCGTCGTACTAAATTATGAAGACCGCAGAGCTTCAATCATCTACGTACCAGGAGCTTTTGTATTGGTTGTTCAAAAAATTCTCGCTTTTCATCAACAGTCAGAAATATTTGCGAGTCTATATTTAAGCTACGAAAGAAAAAATAGTATTGATTGAAGAAGCAACAGTTTTTCGGAAACCTAGGTACTTAAGTTAAAAATCGGTAATAATAGCTTTTTTTAAATCTTCTTACGGTCTGAAAACGCCAAAACTTGCCTAGTGCCTAAATGTAGAATTCTCAAGGGTTATGGTTTCCGTTCAATTACACTTTTGAGATGACTTAACCTTGCTGTTTGCTGGATCAGGAGACAGATTTTGAACAGATAGCGTAGAAATTGGCTAAAACCGTTATTGTTATTTTAGTCTTTCCGATAATATGAACAATCCACACTGTGATCCCGAATTTGCTGTTTTTCAGACCGACATTTAAGACGGCGTACTGCACGAATGCCTTGTCTGTTCTGGTGGCTGCCGGTATTGAGAATGTAATGAGACTGGAGCGCACCATCAGATATCAATTCAACGGTCCCATTCCTGAAGACGAGATTCTCCTGCAGATTGCTGGCGATCAAATGACAGGTGAAGAACCTATCCGGTCATGGCCTATGAAGGCTTTCGGATTTTCATAGGAGAGCTACAGAACAATTCTTTAGTTTCTACATTTGTTGTGAAAAAGAATTTGGAGCGTTCGGGAAGCCACAGAGAAATTCCATTAACGCGCGTTTATTTATGCTATCAAATTCCACACCTTTATTGTTGAGAAATTTTGATGTAAACAAATATTTCTATCAAATGACTTGTAATGAGAAATTACAAGAGATTTGTCGCAGTGGAGGAAAAAACTTAGTTGCTAAAATTTGAAGGAACGAAGTAAAAATTTGAACTCAGTGATAGTGCAATCATATTTGTTGACTTCTCGAAAAGGAGAGTCAGAAGTTGTGAAGTGACATTTTTTATTCCAAATTTTTATTATAATCGTTGACTTTGTATTCTCCGGAAACTCGATGAGTGGTCTACCCTTTCGTAAATCGAGTAGATTTCTTCAGTGTGGGACAGCTGTGTAAAATAGTGGATTCTATCGCCTTGGAGAACACCTCGAGTACAAAGACGAGTTCCACAATTTTATCGGAAATCTCAACTCAAAGTAGAATTGTTAGGATTCCTCATTGTACTATAAGAATCTCCCCTAATAGCAGTAATTCCAGAAGACTTGGCGATTCGCAGTGATACACCTGTGAACTTGCGAGGAAAAATATCATACTAGTAATGAGTGCTGGAGCTCCTTCTGCTGATATTACATGGAAATATTCACCTGAAAGAGCACGCTCATGAATGATTTTAAGAGAAAGCTGTTGTTCCGGCCATGTTTTTGTCTGAAGTTATAAGAAGCACTTTTTTGATGTTTCCAAGTCGTTACCGCTCCCAGCTAGCTTTGACATTTGTTGGAGATACACCTAGCATGAAGCACTCAAGCCCTCTATAAAATGAAAAAATTTCTCGTTAACCTGTTGACAAAGGTTTGATCCACATATGACTAGAAATAAATTAGCCAACTTTCACACATCTCACTCCACCATGAACTTTACCATATAAATTAGAAACCGTACGAGTGGCATGTGACTCACAGGTGTCGTCAATGTTTTAAGCAATGAGGAGCCATTTTGGTTTAGAATGCATCTACCACGATAACTTCGAGTTCACTCCAGCGAAAGGTCGAGAGAAATTCTTCGAAATCGATATCATGGGAGATCTCAGGAATCTCGATAAGGTAGAATAGCGGTAAAACTTCGAGCAATACAAAGAACAAACGTTTAATAATACTACTATTAGTTGTAACTAGTGAAGTGATGACTGGTTTTTATTTAAGGCAAACGAAGAACTCGGATTAGCATTCGATGAGAGCGATATATGCTACTACAAGGATTTATTTCTGAATAAGCTTAACAGGTGTTTTTTGTGAGAAGGCACTTTTTAATTGGGATGACCCACATCTCAGTATGAAGAACTGTTCAGAAATCCGACGGACGTTGAGTTATTTGATTTGGCGCAGTCGAACTCGGAACACTCTCGTCATTGGTTCTTTCGTGGGCGTTTGTACGTGGACGGCGAAGAGCGGAAGGTGAACCGATTTCGTTTTGACATCAATTTGCCGTTCCTCGTTGAATGTGGTTGGCTGAAAGATGCTGGTTTCCATGAAGACTATTTGAGATATCCCATTTTTATCAATTCAATTGCTCCCATGGGAAATCTAAATCTAAATGTGGGGGCAAGAACTGCGTTAGATTTAACTTGACTTCAAAGACTGAACGCTTTCAAAGCATTGCCAAGCTGGGAGCCCCTTTATTCATGTTGTAGGGAAGCCCGGCTAGAATAGTAGGATGTAGAATGCAGATACGTGTTTTCTCAAGAATGAAAAAAACGGAGAAAGAATGAGTGCTTCCTTACATTTATTGATGTGACAATATCGGGCACTGACCATGTATTTACTTAAATGCATGCCGTCGCGAACGTTTAGAAAACGTTGGAAATGTTGGCATCGAAAGTCACAAAGATATGTCTTCTGTTGTTGAAAAAAATTGACGAGCGCCACATTTAAGGCTTCTTTAATGGACTCCATCCGAGCCACCCAAAATTATTCCAATCAGAATAATGTCATCGCTTTCAACGACAATTCAAGGTCAGTTCGTTTTCGATGACTTTATTCAAGTATGAAAAATATTTCGTTACTACGAAATCTTCAAAAACGAGTGGGAAGTACGCTTATGGATCTTCCCACTTTTTCGGTTATTTGTCTTCTGTGTCTTCTCTATCGAGAACATCGACACACTGCTGTAGGTCATCATTTGTTTACACTGTTGCCGGTTTGGGCACGGCTGGTCACTGTAAGCCACCAGTGTGCATGCACGTTGTTGTCATCGGATGCGATTTAGCTTCATTTGATGCGAAATGCGAAAGTAGAAGAATAAGCCGAGCTTCAATTTACGTCCTCCCAATAAGTGGACTCTGTACGAGGTGTTCAAAATATCTGCTTAGAGAGCGAAAAAGAAAAAAAAAAGGAAAAAAAGGAAGAAACAGACATACATTTCAATGCACTTATGAGGTCTTGAATGTCACATCAATTAGTCGAATTTTATTTCGTCTATTTCCATTCCAATTAAATAACATGGTGAGAAATTAATTGTGTCTCGTTAGCGGCTTCAGCTTAAAGACCTTCACCTAGAATATATAGAATAGAGTAAGGTGGGGGAATGAAATAAAATGAGTCAGGATAAATAAGTGGAGGAATATCGAACCGTGATGTACAGCAGTGGCATCACCCAGCAGCCTCAAGCTGAGCAATTCTGTATTTTTATCTGGAAATCCAACTGGGAGTAAATCAATCCAAAAGCTCTATATCGTCATGGACGAAACCTAAGCCAAAATTAGTAAATTTCTTTCTGTTGTACAAGTGCTGGCGACAGCCTTTAGTTATGCTCTGGGCGGGGGAAGAAGGAAGTGCCGGTTTCTCGAGACCACTGGGTGAAAAAAAAAATGCGAATCAGCAATTTATCAGTTAGTCTTTCTGCCTTTCTTTGTGAATATTGACAATATGAAGTTGTGAAGATGAGGAGCCGAACCACTGTTTTTTTATTGGTTGTGCTTTTTTTCGAAGTTTTCCAGATTTGTATTATCGGCATGCGATACAGTCCCAGTTCTTCGATTAAATGATAAGGGAGTTTGTTGTCGTTGTCGAAATAAATTAGATTAGAAGTGCTTTCATGGTACCACTCCTCTGGAAGTGGTCCACTTTCACGTTCACGGTGTTGGAGATCAAAGCTTGACTTTTCATTTTCGGAAGTTCTTACTGGTTCAACGCTTTCAACTAAGTTTTTTGCATTGTCGTTCAATGTACGTTCTTTTTTCTGCTAAATAGCAGTATTTGTTCAAGGAAGGTGAAGTATAACAATGTAGTACAACACATAGTAGGTGAAGGACAACACGCAGCGTTGTTTGGATGCATAGTTATGTTCTTGTTCTTCGCTTATCTATAGAACTTTGTTGCAAAATGTTTAGTCTTTTCTCTCAATAAGCTAAATTTCTCAATAAATTCGTTGCCAGCTCCTGTTTGTGGCATACTTGGATACTTGGATGGCCCGTCCTCACTAGTCGTGCGGGCCCGAGCACAATCTCCATTTTTTTGGAAGTTTGCTAGTTTTATCATTGCGGTTCCTTGGAATCCCGAGGTTAGCCTGGCCAAAGTCTGGCCGAAGTTATCACCACCACAGGCAATCACAGCCCTTATGGATCAGAGGGAGATTTGCCACCATGCGACTAGGCTGGTACAAGGACAGTGCTGGATCCTGGTATAGACTAACTCTTAGCTGGGTTTCCTGATGAAGACGCCGTGCTCCTTTTCAGCCTGAGAGACCCGCCTGGGGAATGAATCCGCCCGCTGTTCATCGCAGACCGATACCCAGGAACACCTCCCAGCCACGATGAGGCGGTAAACCTCTGGGAGATTTGTCGTATAAATTGCCATGAATTTCTTGACTTATTGTGTAAAGAGTCTTTTCAATTCTTCTTTTAAACAAAGTATTTAAGCAGATGGAAGGATGTATACAGAACAATGTAACCTTTTAAGGAAGATAGAATCAGCTTATTTCGGGACTGAATAAGAAAGTGGATAAAAAGCAAGAAGCGACAAGTGGTATGCAAGCAGGTTTTCGCTAAAGGATTGTTCATCTCTATGTTTATCCGGGCGATCTGCGATTTATTGGATAGTTTAGGGTTTTGTCCTCACTTCATATCTTTCGAATTGGGTTTGGATGAATATGTATATGTGAGATGAATAAGAGTTTTTCAGGTGACTAAATGAGTCATTTTACCTTTTTTGAAGCCCATATGCCATATATTTCCTAATTTTATGTTTGAATCACAGGTGCCCACTTTCAAATGGTTACTTTTGCTTGCAACCGTGGCATGTATAGATGATCGCAGTCTGTATTGACTACAGTATCCAGATACTACATTTCAAGTTTAATAAGAGCATATTGCATATTTCTGCTTCCTAAGGAAAGCAGTCTTTAAAAAAGTGATAAAAGATCATCAGAAAATCTAATTAAAGGACAGCGGAATAATCATATAGTTTGTATAGGTTTTTATATTTTCTATTATTTTTTGTTTAGTGCAATTCGTGGCTTTGACTCTGTTCTTCTTTTTCCTTCTAATCCGACGACCACGTCGGCGATGCACCTGCGTAGAGTGCGCCGACACATCACCTACTCGGCTGAAACTCATAATTTTCCTACGGCGATATGTCCTTTCCAGGTACTCTTGTCATTAATTTCGTTACATATTTTCAAACTGGTTTGAAGATGTGCTTCTGTTTCTATGTTCCATTTCCATGGTGTACCCATGAAATGGTTCAACCAACCTACTATTGAAGTTTCCCATACGGCCAAGTCCTGCACTAGAATTACCCAGTAAACTCTGTTGGCTCGGCAAACAATCAGGAATAGCTTTCCTCGCTTCCTCGGAATAGAGTTACGTACTTCTCAGGACTTCATTATGGGTTTCTTTTTGATTTTCTCCTTTTTTGTGCTGGATTTAATCCGCACATATGCAAGCACTCCTAGGCATCCATGCTTACGGTAAGTATAACTTAGTGCGGTATAGTGGAGGTAGAAGCGCATTCAGTGAATCCAGTTTTCTCCCAGAGCAAGTAAATAGTGATTTTTCTTACCAAAATTTATTCTCCTATCTGCCACTGAGTATACCATGTGATCTATGGTTTATTGCGACCGGAAATTACTCAAAAGTACAACACTGGAAGTAAGCATAGTGAGTACTGCTTGCTAACACTAGCAACTTGCACGGGTAGTGCAATGATAGTGACGCCATTCAATGTAAATACAATATAGGCTCGACCAGACTCCTAGTCCAACGAAGGCTTCCATCCCTCCGGGGTTGACAGGTTTGTACCAGATTTGTTTAGAAACCTCCCTGTGATCTACAAGACCTAGAGACGCCGTATCACGGCTTTCCAAGGATAGTCTTCAGTTATGGAAAGTCGACTGGACTAATCATAAAGAAAACCAAAAATATCAAGCCGAAGTCAAACTTATACGCGAATCTGAAGACATTAGTGGATGATCAATGGGAGACAAGAGACCGAATAGACTAAGTACTCGGATCCGCATGATAAATATGAAAGCGGGTTATTTTAAAACAAACTTTTAGCAAAGTGCGGCTATTTAAGAATATTCATTGAATCCATAGGTCGAGTGCTTCTTTACATGCATTTCTTATTAGCGAAGTGAAAGGTGAAAAAAGACGTTCTATGTGTTCAGCTATGATTGAAAGACAGAAGAATGGAGAGTTAAATACTACCATAAAAATTTTCATGTGCGCTCGCAACTTAAATTTTCGGTTGTCAAGTATATTTCGTTATTATTCAATTTATGGAATAGGCGAATAGACTTCATTCCAGGGAGCTACGACTGGCACTGGTGGACGTATACGTGATACTCATGCCACTGGGCGAGGTTACCATACAGAGCAAACTTTTCATCCAGCAGATTACCTCTGAAATTGATTCTTTAGGTTCACATGAAATCGCCGGCGTTGCTGGCTACTCGTTTGGAAATTTGCATCTTCCAGATTATCGTATGCCGTGGGAAGATGAGGATGAGTATCCATTTGCATTCAGTCATCCAAACAATGTAAGGCTTTAGCAACGTATCAATTTCAAATCCTACACAAACCTATATAGTTTCCAATTCATTTTTTATGCTTAAATAGAAAGAATTTGTCAACATCATATATATTCATCGCTGGGATTCCATACTTGTTTCATGCTTCCAATCTTTGAAATGTGGTTTTTTGGTGACCTGGTGTACTGTCAAGGTCTCCTGAAGTTCCATCTGTCCATAAATCGATGGTTTTTCTAGCTTTTACACCAACACATAGTGATACATTTTCGTTGGACTTTAACGAATTTTAATGGAAGAATCTTGTGCACTTACAATTAAGGTCTGTGAGCATGAAACAGGATCAGTCAACGTTACAGGTGTTTGTCGAGTTAATAAACACAACGGTCAGCTCACTTTAATTTTTTTAGGAGCCATCCTTTATTTTTCAAACTCTATTATTTGTAATCCACAGCTATAGTTCCGTCATCGCCACAGAGTTTTACATAGGGCTCTATAGGGTTGTCGAATTACCTCCACAAATAGACTCTAAGAGCAGTCCACATTTAAGTACTATGTTCCCGAAGCAAAGAAATGCTGGAGATATTTTTCCCATGCTACTTATTATCTAATCACCAAGTAGAATCTCCCATGTAGTAATGAAGAGCTTTAATTACGCCAGTTGATCTTCACGTTATCTCGTCACGATAAGAAGAGCTGTGCTCCTGTGCAAGGGCATTAGTATCGATGTTCATTTTCGACTTCAAAGCGCTAGGGTTCTGGCGTAGACTACTTGTACTCTTTGACCTAAATGCTATATGATTACTAATCATCGAGCTAGTAATGTTTTCATTCGTTCGTGCTGAGTTCCAGAGATTCGGTTCTGCTTCCTCGGATATTGCAAAAATTATTATGCTTCTCATCCAGAATCTTCGAAAGGAAATCTTATTTCATGTTCTATTTAGCATATGAGCATATGAGATCTATGAAGCCCATTCTGCAAGGATTTCGCGTGGTAAACGTAGACACACTATCCCTTTATTTCTTAGATTCAAGTGGTGGTTCGCGATGTGGAGTTCACATCAGTCGAAGACTTTACTGCGTGCTTTAGACTCCTCTTTTCTATCACATAATTCGAGCGAGAGTTTTATCAGGTAATAAAAACGTTGATTTCCGGAATTGTCTTTTCACGTGTCTCAACCCAGTGATGTCGTTCTTGATCTTTTTAGGTTACATCGTAAGTTTCTTAATGGAAACTCTCAGTGCTACCTTGTAAGTACGGGTTGTCATGGTACTTACTTGATACTTGAACGGCCCGCCCTCACTGCTTGTGCGGGCCCCGGCATAATCACCATTTTTCGGAGACTTGCTGGTTAAGCCATTGTGGTTCCCCGGAATCCCGAGGTCAGCCTGGCGAAAGTCTCTCCCAGGTCTTCACCACCACAGGCAGCCGCAGCCCTTGTAGATCAGAGGGGGATTTACCACAATGCGACTTTGATATCAGGACGGTGGTGGATCCTGGTATTGATTTACTCTTAGTTAGGCTTCCTAATGAAAGCCGGACTCCTCGGCTTGGCAGACTCTGCCAGGGAGACGAATCCCACCGCTCTGCTTCGCAGTCCGACACCCGGGAACACCTCCCAGCCACGATGAGGAGCTAAACTGTTGGGAGGTGTTATTATAATGTTTTCAAAATCTGTCATGTTTTAGCAGCCTTTGTATAATTATCCTTCTCAGCAGTATCTTGTTCGCTGCTCGTCTAGGTAATGAAAAGGGAACATTTTTCGACATATTAGCGAGGACGAGGTCTCGATAGTCGTTTACCAGATTCTTTTGCAAGAGATCTACGACTTACTTATTTATGTGATCTTATAAACTGATCTTCTTAAGCTGACGCGAGGTTGGTACAGATCTTCGTTGTCGTTGTCGTTGTTTTTGATGTTACCGGTCGATGGCTAACGTTTCGGCGACTTCGCCTTCCTCAGAGCCTGCATGTATTTAATATTAGAATGTTTTTATTATTCGGTGGAAAAGAAAGGTTAAAGTGTTAATGAAGATCAAACTTTCAAATAGACGCCATATTGAACAGAAAGGCCACTCACCGTGATGTTAAGTGCGGGACTGGCCCACGCGTTGTTTTCGTGGAGTCGCGAGTAAGACACCCCGGGGTCAAAATATCATTTTGAAATAGGGCGCCAGGTCACGCGTGATAGTGAGGCATTCGTCTTTCCGGTTCATCTTTGGATTTTTGAAATTTATCCAAAGCTCCTCAAGAGTTTTGCGCGTTGTTGTTTTTGATTCCTGCGCTAGGATCCGCACATTCACTTCAAAATCATCGCCATTGTGCTTTTGTGCCCTATGCGTACCTAGAGGAGTGTTTAGATGGTTTTTAGCCTTTCCATCTAGATGTTCTTTTATGCGGACACAAAGTGGTCTACCCGTTTCCCCGATATATTCCTCGCCGCATGCATTACATGAGATCAAGTATATTATACCTAAACTCATGCAATCCCCGTCTCTCCCGTTAGGACAGATCATACAGTTTTCTGAGCTGCACAAACGATCATAGAGACGGTTTCGAACTAACTGGCGGCGTAGGGTGTTGGGTGGGATGTCAATAATCGTTACATAGTTTTCAAGACCACTTTTTCTTAAACACTTTTTAATGGCGTGACTTACTTTGTTTGATATGAAGGGCAGCTTAAAGATCCTACTGTCGTCTGAAATATTATTTTGGGAAACTACCCAACGTTTTCGTCTTCTAAGAATGGGCCATACATTCCACTTCATTGAGTATCGTTGGAGGTGATTGAATGCATACCTAGCGTTCACGATGGCTCTCGGTGGCCTACCAATGTATCGAGCTAGTGCTGCTATCCTCCCAGACAAATCTGGTACCAATTTGCCGACCCCGGAGAGATGGAAGGCTTGATGGGCCATGGATGCGGGGATCGATTTCAAGTGTGTGTTGCAGTGAGGCGTCCAACCACTGTGCCACACGCGCCCTTTCCGGTTCTTCCATAACCTTACTATTGGATGGGCTTCTAGATGGAAATATCGAGCCCTAAAACGAGGTGGCCATGTGGGAATGAATCCTGGTTTATATTGGGGCATACACATTACAAGACACCTACAACGAGACGGCAAGCCACGCTAAACGGACGATGCCATAAAAATGAGAGAAAAGAGAAGAAAAAGTAAGAGATAAGGTAAATAAGACGATTTAGGTAATCCAACGATTTACCTTTGCTCACGTGCTACACACGACACCAATCGAGGTTCTTGCTTTGCTTCTTGCCGATAAAACCGATGGAATAAAAACATGGTTTAGAGGAAGCAAAGGCATCAATTGGTAAGGTGGATAGCACGTGAACGCCGGCCAAGGGTAATCGTGGGTTCGAAGCTAACCTGATCTTCGAGTTTTGCCCATATCTCTCCAACTCTATGAATAAGAGAATCCAAACAAATCTTTTTTAAAGATCGTAATCGAGGCATCAAATGGCGCATCGGATTACGGTAACAAATTTGGTGAGCCTGTAGTGTGCGGATTTGCACGTTCTTTTGGACAACGTTTGGTGAATGGTGCACGGTACGAGTATGTTAAGCCGATCATGTTTTCTGGTGGAATTGGTGCTATCGGTGAGTAATGAGAATGCGATATCGGTAACAACGTTAAGGCTGACTTTTTACCGCAATGTAGCACTTTTCAGAAATCGTTTTCTCCTTGGATCTGATGTGCGTTAAATTTTTTGCATTCTCCCATCCGATCCATTTCATCTTATTCTATAAACTGATTCTCTTCCTTGTCTCCAATATTTGCTAACTGGCGTAGTGAACGATAGCGCTGAGGCTCTGTTCAGATGACGATCAAACCTCGAAGTTGAGCGGTCATCATGGAACTCTGCTGGCAAAAATCGGTGGTCCAGTCTATCGCGTTGGCGTCGGTGGTGGAGCTGCTTCCTCACATTTTGTACAAGGTATTACAATTATCGTATAGATAGTAACTTTTTCCTGTTGCATCTGCATGAATGTACCAAAGCTTCAAAACATTGAGGGATGCCATATGTTAACAAATTTCTGCAAATTTCCTTGCTAGTTCTGTTTTTTTAATCACTCTATGCTCATCTACTCAACTACTTAGATTGCTCGTCACCACATGGCCTGAGCGACTCAATACCTCTTTCAGCTCTTCTGCGAGTTGATGATTTGTAGTTTTTTTCTTGTCCTCATTGACATATATAGTGCTGGTTTAGGTGTTTTTACCAAAGTGGTCGCTGAGCTAAGTTGGTTTGAGTGAAATTTGCAACATTACTTGATACTTTATACTTGAATGGCCTGTCCTCACTGGTTGTGCGGACCACAGCATAATCTCCACTTTTCGGAGATTTGCTGGTTAATCCATTGTGGTTTCCTGGAATCCCGAGGACAACCTGGCCAAAGTCTGACCACGGTCGTGACCACGACAGGCAGTCGCAGCCCTTGTAGATCAGAGGGAGATTTACCACCATGCGACTTTGATACCAGGACGGTGGTGGATCCTGGCATTGGTTTACTCATAGCTAGGCTTCCTGACGGAAACGCCGGACTCCTTCTCAGTTTGGGAGACCCAGCCAGGGGTGAATTCTCCGCTGTACATCGCAGTCCGGCACCCAGGAACACCTCCCAGCCTCGATGAGGCGGTTAACCGTTGGAAGGAGATGACAGTAGGTTTTCTAAAACAAACATTTTTGCATTATTATTATCATTATTATTATTATTATTATTATATAATATCAATATTAATATAACATAATATATTATTATAATATAATATAATAATATAATATAATATATAATATGATATAATATATTATTGACATTGGTATTATTATTAATAATATAATATAATAATACATATTAAATAATAATATAGTGTTAATAATAATAATATAATTATTATTACTAATCATTATTATTACTGATTATTATTATTGTTATTATCGTCACTAATTACTGTTATTATTATTAATTATTATTGCTATTGCTATTTATTATTATTATTATTAAAGACCGAATTTCACCGTAATGGAATTAAGTAGGCAAAAATGCATGTATTCTAGTGGTTTAACCTAAGGTAATGAAGTATGCTGAGATATGTGCAGATATTTGATGTTAAAGATTAGAAGCAGTCGTTTTTTCCCTAACAAATCCTCATTTACTCTTTGGCTAAATTTAAACCATCAGAAATGGCTGGAAAATTACCGACTTCAGGCTCTCGTGAGTCCGTTCTGGACTTCTGTGCAGTGCAGCGCGGCGATGCCGAGATGGGACAGAAGCTGCACCGAGTCGTTCGGGCGTGCGCTGAGATGGGAGACGCGAATCCGATACTATCAATCCACGACCAAGGAGCTGGCGGTAACGGTCAGTGGTATTCAGACGGCGGTTCAGTCAATTTCAGTATTCAGGATGTAGTGCTGGATTCCGCAAGCGGTGTATCAGTGAAGTCTAAATGTACTCAATTTCTGAAGTTTTTTGACTTTTTTGCAGCAGTTTTTGTCAATTCGAAACTAACTATCTAAATGACAAGTTGTCGAGGATAGGGCGCTCATCAATGACTTTTTAGAATTTTTATTTGTCTTAGTTTTCTGGAAGGAAAGTATTACGACTAGAACGCTCAATCCGTAGAGCTGATTAGTGATGGTCTTCTTATATCGATGGATAAATTTTTATGCCATTTAGCAATTAGCTAAAGTCAACGTCTAAAATCAAGCAAGACTAGAAGTATCATTTCTCATTCACGAGAGCATAACCTTGATGCAAATCTAAAAATTTTAGGTAATGTTCTGAAAGAACTTGTTGAAAGTGGAGGCGGAGCAATGATTAACGCTTCAAGCTTCGAGCTTGGTGATGACACGATTTCGGCGCGTGAACTATGGACAGCTGAGTACCAGGTTTTGTCTTCTGTGATTTCCTTAAATCTGTTAGTTGACTTACATTACCTGTAATCGTGTAACATGTGGTCATCGAGAGTTGAAGTTGATAATCAGTAAATATCTGTATCGGGAAAAGAACTATGGATCGTGGGTCTCAAAACAAGCGCATGGTCCTGCTTTCGGTCAATCTTTAACCCTTATCCACCCCTGGAGGAGTGCTACGTTACCCCGTGTCTAACCAACTCGTAGTTTTTACGTCAGAGAGGAGGATTTATAGATCTCTTAAATAAACCAGAAGTTTTGATAGAACTTTTACAGACTAAAATTGAATTAAGGAATGTGAATGACACAACTTCGTTTTTTGAGATGAATAAATAATAAAATTTAGTTTTGCAGGAGAACGATGCTTGTCTGGTGGAGGCTAGTGGTATATCGAAAATGATGGAAATCTCCCAAAGAGAAAAATGTACTGTATCGATAGTAGGTACAGTAACGAAAGACAGCAGGGTTAGGCATATTCATTTGCTCAAACCTAGCGCTTGACAATCTAACTTTGCAGCAACCACTTCGCTCTAGGTCGTTTTAACCAATTTCGACGATGATATGGATGATCGAACACCAGTTGATCTCGATTTGAGAGCGTTGGGTAACCGAGCGAAGAAGGTGGGGCAATTATTTTGCCTTACTGACTTCAAAATTACTATGAGAACGATCTGCTCTTGTCAAAGGGTTCACATTGAGTATGATTCTCAATGGTGTCTTCAAGGTATAAAATATTCAGGTATTCCATCTAAGGTCGTTACAAATGCCATTGAGCCCACTTGAACTTCCTGCACGATTGACAGTGAGACAAGCGCTCGAAATGGTTCTTCGACTGCCTTCAGTAGCCAGTAAAAGGTTGTCCGTGTTTCATTATACGCTTATGGCAATATGAAAAAAATGTGGACCTTTGGTGTCATTTGCTTTGGAAACTGCAGCAAGGTTGAAGTAGGGTCTAGTCTGCCAATACAACCTACTGAGATTCGCTACCAAAATTTTGTTCTTCTTATGTTTTTGGCAAGTAAGTGCGTGCTAAGATGGCGTACGTAGCTCCTTGCGAAAATGAAAAACAGGATCGATTCCTGACCGAGGTTGAATCAGTGAGCAGCGGATTGGTGTGGCGTCTTTTAGTTAATTGGGTCTACTATCCTATACCTGGAAGATTTTTGGCATTAGAAACAACAGTGCCAAAAAGTTGGTATGCATATCGTGACGTCACTCTTTTAGTAATATTGTTTTAACGAAAGTGGTTCAATTTCATTTCGTGGTAGAGAAACCTGGCGGAAATTTTGAATCGCTTTTCCCTTGCACTAGTTGATTAACCTTCGACCAGAATATCGAATTGTAAGCAATAGGTGTACATGGCCAATACCCACTTGTTGGTGGCAAAATCCGACGAATCCTCCACATTCGGGGATAAGTTATGTGATAGTGAAAGGATGAGAACGAGTGAACACAACGAAGTAGAAAGCGGCAGCGACGATCTCTCTTGTAGTTGTCTACTATCGTCTGTGGCAGTCCTAAAAGGTAGTTCCCATTTGAGGTTAACTCGATGTCGCTAACTTTAAGTTTGTATTGGAATCTTTTTAACTTGGTTTTTGAATTAGATTTTACATTTTATTTTAATTTGGATTTCGTTGTGTTTTAGAAGACACCGTTGAAACGCACTACTAGTTGAAATGAACTAACTTGTCTTCTGATTTCATTGCAATCCTAGTCTCCTTTCTGTTCGCTGCGCGCACAATACTTTTCGAAATATAACGTTGACGTTGACAAAAGGAGAGTTTCGCCGGAAATTCCTAGGAGCGAGCAATTTCGTTACTCATTGTCGTGTGACAGTGGACATGATCTCCGTTTTCAGCTAAATCCTTTGTGCTTTTCACTGCGCGTGCGCGCTAAGCATTTAGTTCAATGCGTACGGACAGAAATGCTACCTCATAGCGACGACATCTTCTGCCATCCTTATTAGCTGTTATTACTGTATCATTACAACAAAGAAGAAATCGCCAAGGCTCGCCATAGAGACGAAAAAATTCGTCTCAAAAATCTTTTTGAAAGTTATCAATTATATGTGGTGAACAATTTTCGTCAAATCGTAATAAGTACGGCATCATACGAATGCCAATCACGAAGAGTATGACACAAAAGCTTTGGGCAGCAGTTACAAATTACACAAAAGCACTGCATTGAAACCAATGCGTATTGTCTCAAGTTTCTCGACACTCATGCGTTGAAATCATCGCATATGCTCGCAAGTGGATGTTTATGTGACTTCGTGCACCTTTATGTATAATTCTAATTACGATCAAGCTGAATTCAGTTTTTTTGAATGTATAGGTATACAGTGTTTTACAATGAGAAGACGTTTGATAAATCAGCTTTTTCGTTCAGTTTGGATTGAAGAAAAGTCACAAGATGGATCTGCAGAAAGTGAAAGGACGAATTTTTTCGAAAACATCTGGACGTTTTCAATTGACAATAAGATCGCAGCACGAAGGAGTTTACAAAAACTTTTCAAATTTCGTATAAACGCATAAAGAAGAAGCAAGCTTTTCCCTTTCAAGCAGCCAGATGAAAAATATTCTGGCAAGATGGGAACTTTCGTGGTTACCAAACTTAAATTGTGCTTTCGACAGTTCGTGATGAAGCTTGGAAGTGCTTCGGTCGACAGCCATGTTCCGCAAAACAACTTTAGCTACTTGTTTAGGTATTTGACATGTAAAGTGGATCGCTCAGTGACCGGTCTGATCGCCCGTCAACAATGCGTCGGACCGCTTCACACCCCGCTTGCGGATGTTGCAGTTGTTGCACTGTCCTACTTCGATAAGGTACGTGCTGTCTGTGTCTACCCGATTATATTCGTGAGTGATTATAATGAAATGAGAAGATTAAAACGAAAACAACAAGGCTTCTGGCGTAGATCGCCACTTTAGAAATCTACGTGCACTCGATTTCATCGAGCGTCAATAGGGGATTGAATGCACATCTGACCTGGCGCGATGAATCGCGGTGCTTACCGATTTATTAACTCAGTGCTGCTATCTTTCTAGATAAGTCTAATGCACATTTGCCAACTATGGTAAGGGGAGGGGGTTGGGTCGCTGAGCTGAGTCCGCCACTCTACAAAATTTTCATGCCCACCAAGTTGGTACTAATCGTTCAAATAATTCTCGATATTCTTGTTGAGCAAACACGAGGTGTTGCTTTATTCTTTATTCCGGTAAAGCTGATTCTCGGGCGTATCGCCTTCTTCGGTGCCAACTATTCTCGTCCAAAGGTGATCCTGGTCCTCCAAATACAAAACAAAAAAATGTTCCTTAGTCGTACAGTTCTTCATTCTGGCGAACATTTAGTTCTGCTTGCTTCGTAGTGCAGCTCGAAGTAGTTCCATTTCTACGCTTCGTACTTGTTGGCTATCCTCTGATTGACCGCATACCTCTCTCGTGAACTAATCGTTCATTCAATGCCCACCAGTTGAATGCGTTATTGCGATAGTTCATACTTCTGAATAGTATAAACCCTTACATAATCTCAGCTTGATTCGTATTTTGTTGGTTACTAGGACTTCTTTCTCCAAAGATCGATGACAAAGTGTTTCCTAGCCGGTGTATCTTAATTTGTAATAGTTGTCTATTGTCACGGTGTCCAGCCACTTCGGCGTAGTGCAAGAAACTTGTCTAAACTTCTCTTCTTGCTGTAGTTTTTCCTTCGATTTTCTTTCTTTTAAACACTACATATGTTGTAAAAATGGAATTTCGAAACGAAAAGTAGCAAAGCAAAGCGTTTTGATATCTTTCACAAGACTTTTCTTCACTCTGTTCTTCTCTCTTTATCTTTCTTTCTCTCGATCTTGTCATAATTTATCACATCACAATTTAAATTTCCGCATTGACTGAGGGACTCTTAACGTTTGGATACCGAAAAAAGAGCTTCTTGTTGGAAAACTTCAAAGAATCATTCACTCAATAGTTGTTAATTTTTCTTCTCTAACTTACAACAATATCTAATTGCAAGTTTATTTCATAAAAGAGTATTTAATTAAGTGGCAATCGTGGTCGAAACCAGCTCCATATGAGTGAGATTCTTCGATTTTGTATTGTATATACTTCATCAAGAATATTCAGATAAAAGAAACTCTCGGCGTTGATCAATTCCTGAAGTATTCGCCATTCATTCGACTTCATTAAGCTTCGTTTGGAGGTGACTAAGTGCATATCTAGCCTTTACAATGACTCGCGATAACATGTCGATATATCGAGTCAGTGCTGCTATCCTCCCATATGAGTCTGATACCAATTTGCCGACCCCCGAGGGCAGAAAATCTTGGTGAGCCATGGGCACGGGATCGATCTCATGTGTGTTGCAGGACGCCTCTGACCACTGCGCCATACGCCCCCTATTTCTCAGATACCTTCATAAAATGTGCATACCACAGCACACTTTCCACCTGGAGTCATTTCAGCGGGTAGACATTTCTTTCCTTGAAGTGCTGAGTCTTTTCCCTACCGTTTTCAGGTAGTCGTAGCAAGGTATTTTCTAGACTATGAGTTTTTCACTTATTTTTTTTATCTTTGCCGTACAACAACGACGTCTAACTATGTCTACCGACAGCGGCAACATTTTGTTTCCGTTCAGCACCTCTTCTTCAAGGAGTCTCGTCTATCTCGTCCGAGTCACACGCCCATCACAGGGTGGCTGATATATCCGTACGTGGCGGCCGCACCCTGCTGATCCAATTTCGGATCTGCTGCGCGCATCATCCACAACGATTCGTCGTAATTTACGGGCAAAACGGAGTTTCGAAGGAAATACACCCAAGTTCAATCACATTTCGTGACTGAAACTGTACAAATAGGAGTGCCTCTTTAATTCTAAGTAGGTTGCGCTTACGAATATCTATTGAGTAGGAGCAAAAAATCCTTTCAGAAACTCAAAATGATGAATGATTCCTTCGATTTTAAATGTAGATGGCTTTTAAATGGAGTAAAAAGAGTTTTAAGAGATGCTTATGACTTCATTCTGGTTGGATATTTACATTGCTTTTAACCGAACTAAAACTCTAAACTCCCTTTTTTGGGTGATTGAAACGAGTTGGTCTAATAACTGGGGAAAGTCCTGGTTTGGTAACTGAACTCCATAAGTGAAATAAACGCTCATTTGTAAGAGCAAGTGTTGTCGCAGAAAAGCTCAGTGATCGTGGGCGTGACTTCGGACTGCTGATTAGACGGAAGGCTTGCCGCGCATTCCTCACTTTCCTCCCGCCATCATCCCCTATACGTCATGATTCCTCGCATCATTCTGGCATTGATTCCCGTCATATCGCATACCGTAGCTGACATATGCTCTCACTGTTCATGTGATGAAGATTCGAAGTCGGTTACTTGCTCTTCCCCCAGCCTCCTTGTACGAACCGTCTCGCTACTTCCTTGGATTGAAGAATTACGCCTCGTCGACTTAAATATGCCCTATCCACCTCACTTCGTTTTCCATCCAACTCTTCAAGTTCTGCACATCAACCGATGCGGCTTGCAGGAGCTTTCTGCTCATACACTGCTTCCACTACCAAATTTGGTAGTGCTCAATTTGGCCGATAACCATCTTACAACTCTTCCGAAGAATCTTCTACGAAGTTTAAAACATTTACGTATCTTGAATTTGGCTAGAAATCAAATAGCCAACATCTCCCATTTATCAAATATGCTTGCTGAAAACGTCGTGCTTGAGAAGCTCGACTTAAGCGAAAATCCAATATCTTTCTCAACTGTAAATTCCTTTATTCTGCCTTCAGTGCAACTTTTCCTTTCACACGCCAATCTTGCTTTCATCAACTCCACAGCAATGATCTTCCACCCATCAGAGATTTGTCCGAAAGAAGTGGGCTGCCGTATCCTGCCGCTAAGCCGTGCTGATTTGGCTCGCCTTGACAACTTGGATGTTTCTGAAAACATTCTCGAAGTTGATATCTCGGCACTCAATGCTCTTTCAAACGCCAATTACCTAGATTTTTCTCACACTCATCTCCCTTTGGATTTCACCATCTGGTTAGAGGAGAAGAGCAGAGTGAAGTACTTGAATCTCTCTAATGCTAAGATCCATTTATACGGCGATAGCTGGTCTGTTTGTGGTAGAGAATTGAAGCAGCTCGATATCAGCGGACTAGGACTGAAACGACTACAATTAAATCCAAATTGTGTGTTGAAAACTGTATTCGCTAGAAATAATTTGCTGGAAACCAGTCATCTTGAAGGTCGTTCGCTAGAACAACTGCACATAGATCGGAATCTCTTCACGGATTGGCTCATTCCCCCGCCAGGAGTTATTCTAGAGAACCTTCGCTCGCTTACTATCTCGTCCAACCTGCTTACTTACATACCTCCCCATGCTCTTTCTTATTTTCCGAATCTGCAACATCTTGACGTCTCACGAAATCAGATAAACCAGATTGACCATCTCGCATTCCCGAGCCTCGGTATGCAGCTTATTTCTATCGACTTGTCATTCAACAAGCTCTCAATTCTACCTCATCCTGTGCTGCCATCGCTTAATTATTTGGATATTTCTAGCAACGAAATCGTTACCCTGGATCCGATGTTCTTCATCGCTATGCCCCTACTTCAACACCTTAAGTTGACGAACAATTCAAAGATTTTTTCGAAGTGTGTTGAGCAGTGCTGGTTGGATCATCTGGACGAATTAACGGGCCTCATAGATCTCGACCTTTCTCATTGTGCCCTCTCAAGAACACCGCCCTTGTCACATCTTTCGTCGCTTCGCTCTCTAATTCTTCGTGGAAATCAGATCGTGGATGTCAACGCTGCTGAACTGCCACCAAATCTTAGAATTCTAGACTTGGGTGAAAACCGCTTGCATTTTACAAAGAACTTATCACGGCTGCATTCGCTTCGGGACCTTCGTGTTGATACAAATCCACTTAGATGCGATTGCTCACTGCACGACATTATTCCGTACCTAATCAATCAAACTCAAGTCAGCGATCCACAGCTGTATTACTGCTTTTCTGGTTCATGGCAGTATCCCTTAGTGCCGTACCTTGCCAGCACTACATCGTGTACAGACAACAGTACTGCACAATTCGTGCCAATGCTTGCCACCACATTCGCTCTTTTCGTTATCATAGTTTGTCTTCTGTTACTCTCAGTGGTCGGCTATAGACGCTGCATTGATAATCATGCCTATAGACTGCTGGCAACAGATAGTCCGAGGCAACTGTAGAAGACGTTGTTCATGTCCATATTTGAAGTTTCTGTTCAAGAACGTTGTAGGCATGGCTGAATATTCTATCCGACTAGCAACAAGCCTGATGCATTTGCCTTATTCTAGTTGTTTTTTCATTAATTCAGAATTCATCTTTAGTACGATTACATGAGCGATTAGTAATTCAGCGTGCGATTTATACGAGAAAATTTTATGTATTCACCAGTTCGATGGAATTGTTGAGAAGCTGAAGGTTCGTTTTGAGTTCTGTGATAAGGCCTGTTAAACTCAAAGTTCGCAAGAATGTCTCACACCTGAATATTTGAATTCTCGATTGTTGTTCTACATGATTCCATCAGAGTAGATTTCTTCATTTCAAGTTTTGCTGTCTGCACCATCAATGCCCAGTTTCGTGAATCCCTAGAGACGCATCAATAGCGTCACAACGAGCGACGATTTCCGAAGTTGTCAGCGATGTTTTCCGATTTGGAATGACGCACTTGCGGCGGAAAGCTCCACTATGATGTCTCGCTTGCATCCACAGAGGATCAGTTCGACGACTTGGCAGCGAGTGCATGGCGTTCGGCCATTCTGGTGATGTGCATGAAGTACCAGTTCGAAGTGTACGGTATTTTACCGGAATATTGTGAAGAGCTGTCACCCATTTTTGTTTTTGAACATTTGATTTGTTATCATATCGATGTCAAATAAACCTATTAAATTAGCGATTAGTAGTGGACAAGTTCGCACTAAGTAAATCAGGAATCAAAACTGATCTTCGATACTTAGAGCACTAAAACAAAGCGAGTTTTTTTTAAAATGAACTGGTGAGAAATATTGTTGCAGTTGTAGAGGTTCCATTAATACTATCTTTAATATTAAGACTGCTATGTAGCCCTTAGATGGTAGATGACACATGAAGCTGAAGAGTCAGTTGTGCACAAACTGTCAGTGGTTCCAGTGGTTCGATTCCCTTTATATTTTGATAAGTTGATAGTGGTCGCATCTACGAATGAGGGAAGGGTAAGAGCCCCATGTGTTTGCTAGTTTCGCAAATTTATTTCTATTATAATCTGTTTATTATTAAGCCATTCTAGTCATGAAGGGAGAACGCAATAGCAAAATTTGAAACCTCACAAAACAAAGTATCTACAATGATGAGGAGTTTCTGTACACCCATGGTCGCTGGTTCGATCCTGTATCGTGGCAAAGCAAGCCACCCAACTTTCTATTGTCGCAAAATTGGTAGCAGGCTTGTCAGGGAGCAGAGAAACCTTGATTGGATACATCGATAAGCCAAATCATTGTGCAGAGTAAATACGCATTCATTCACTTAGTTCATGCTACCAATGGAATCGAATGCATAACATTTAAAGATTGACAATTACGAACGCTTTGTGCTTTTGGCAAGCACCATATCAGTCTCCTATCAACTACTAGGTTAACCTCTTAGTTAACCACTGCGTACTAGTTTTCGTCTCATAGAAGACGACCATTTGGATCGTAATAGTGGTCTGCTTTGTAGGCGGGATTCAACCCTGAAATTCGTCAGATGTCGAGCAGAACAGAACACATCCTTGCACGATGGCGTCATGCTAACTCGTCGAAACAAAAACTTTCTAATTAACTTTGGTCTTGTCAGTATGTCGTTGAAGAACTAAGAATCAAATTCGAACGACATGCTGTACTGTGTTGATTGAAACGGATTACCTGTAGAATGTATAACCTATTAACTGCGTAAATTTATGAGGCGTGAAGTTCTGCACATGTCTTTTTTAAATTAAATCAATCAATGGATAAAAAAGTACTGCAGTGAATAGAATCGGACTAATAATATAATCACTGTATCACCTACGATCCTTTTAATCGTTGAGTACTTTAAGCAGACGACGATAGTGTTCCTATACTCCTCAATCGTGCGCTTCGTTTAATTAAAGGGCACGAAGATCACTGCGTCTCTTATATGAGACCATTTCTTAAGATCTACGCGACGATATAACATTATAGGAGCCATTATAGGAGTCATTTGTTAAGGGCCGGTGTGATCCCCATACTTGTCACAGTGAGTACCGGAAAAAATTAGGCACGCGTAAGTGTTAACGTGTGGTGTGTTGTGGTGGCCTCTGGAGGCTCGCAGGGCTCTGTTGTGGATGCCTCCCTTCGTAGCCGTGTTTTCGGGTGGAAATGTCGAACTTTTCATCATTGTGGATAACCATCGGCATTAAAGAACTCTGTTCAATCACGATAAGCTTGTAAGGTGTTAAACGAAAGTAAATATATGAACAATCATGCTGGCCACAGCACAATTGCGACCTGACTGTTATTCTGATTGGCATTTATCTTCACACCTAAATGAAAAGGTCACCTCTGCACCATTTTTTTTTAATATGACATCAACAATCAGAGAAAAATTCTGTCGACAGACGAACTTGGTCTCTTGGCCAATTTTTAAACACGATTCAAATTTTTTGTGTAGTGTTTGTATTAATTATTGAAGGTAGAAGTAGGAAGTCATGACGTTTCTTCACGACGAACTTTCACATTTACGGTGCATCATAAATTCTTGGCTTATATTTGTTTCTTTGCACGACCCATCTACACATCTGCTGTGCGGATCTCAGCACTTCTTGCATTCGACTCGTTTCCTGACATCTACCATCCGGAAATTCTTCGAACATTTTTCACGTGTGACTTCGGCTGCCGTTTGAGGATTGCCTTCTTTATGAATGTCGCTGAATTCTGGTGGAGCCGATTCTCCCTCGAGTCTTGGGCAGTGCTAGCGCGTTTCTGCATGAATTCGAGGGATGGGAGGGTTGAATTTGGCGAAGACAGGCCTGATATCAACTTCCCTTTCCTGGTGAGATGGTAGATTCGTGGGCCGGGATGGGATCGAACCAGCACCAAGTCGTCATGAGTGGCACCAGTACTACTTCGCTTCCAACTCCCAACCGTAGTATTCTGTGAGTTACATCTTTCTGTGTCCATGCCTTCAAAAATTCTAACAAATTTTCCAAAATTAATTTTTATTACCTATCAACTTTCTATGGAATCCGTTTCGATCTTTTTCAACTCCTACCCAAAAAAACAAGTGTTCGTACTGATTTCGATCCTCAGAACTCTTACGTGTGATCTCTAACAATGAAGATCCATAGATTTCGGGATAATTCGGACAGAAGGTGGGATAGATCAGGTTTCCTTCTTTGGTTAAATCAATTCTCATTTACTACTTTCTTTGTGCAAATTTCTGAGCACAGCTGTTTTTTAATGTACTGAATGACGAAGGTTTCGAATGAATGCATTATTTTGATGATATAATAGCAGTCGTTGTGCTGTCGCCTTCTTGGCTTCCGTTCGGACTGTGCACTTCCACTTCTCATACTTCGTCCGGTCTCCTGGGTTTCGTTCATTTCCATATGTGCTGTCACCACTTAGCGATCTCCAGGGGTTCGACGTTCTTCAAAAGTGCGCCCAATATATGCAAGGGTGGATGATTGTTATGCCGACATGCGTTCAGAACGAAGAAAAAACTTAATCGAATAAGCAAAAACAGCGAGGAAAATTATCTGGCATAAGAAGTTCGCCATAAGAGTGTCGTACACTCGACCACCTCTCACTAGATGTGTGGTTCTGGAGTACATGATGAACTCCCTTCGGGAATAGAACATAGGTGCAGTTTGATAGGCTCCTATACCGAGCCTTTGGAAGCCTTTTACCACTCTTATCTCTCTTACCGTTCATTTTGAAGTTTTCAGTGACGGACAGTTCTTATTATGACGAATGATATCTTAGAAAATTTGTAACCATAAAGCCTTTCAATTGAAAGTGGTAGCTTTTCTATCAGTAGAGTAATCGAGAAGGAACTTTAGAAGCTTGGGGAATAAAATTTACTCTAACGCCTTTGAGTTTTATATGAAATTCATAGTCTTTAAATCTTATTTTCACAGCAGTTAAGATTTTTAAAGAATTGGAAATGAGATTTGAAACCTTTCAAATTTAAACGGAAGCGCTGCGGCCGAAAACAATGGTGATACATTTTGCGAACACTATCGTATGCTGCTGTAGGAAATCCCTCTAATTCGATTGCTGCTGTTTTCAGAATACGAACTTTGATCCGAAGAAGAATAGAAGAAGCATGTTTTTTGGCCTTCAGGAAACCAGATTTTGGCAGAGATCTGCCGATTTTCACTGGATCGAAGTTTAACAGAAATTCTATCCAAACATCATAAAAACCGACTTTCATTAAACCAAGGCAACAATATCAATATTTTTCTATTTTATTGAGCTTACACGAGATTCCGCTATCATTTCGGCGTCTTCATCTTCTTCAGAGCCGGACTGATCCCAGTCGATGGACCCGACAAAAATTTTCTATACATCCCTCGTATTAGCAAGAATACAGAAAAATATCCATTTGAAAAATCTGCATTTATTTCAGGTAGGAGGTGCTGTTGCAGTAGGTGAGCAACCAATCAAAGGATTGATTTCTCCAGGCGCCGGCGCTAGGATGACGATTGCAGAGACACTAACGAACCTTCTGGCTGCTCCCATCAGTAGTATAAGGGTGAGCAGCAGTTCGGTTAAGATTAGATATATCGAAAGTGGCACTGTACTATTGAGTGTTACCAGATTGATTCGTACAATTTTTTAATAGTGATCAAATTTCCTTCTTTGCAAAAATGGTTTCGAGCGATATAAGGGTATAAAAGTGAGATAAAAGTCGGTGTCTGCGACTCTCATTGAAATGTCCTCCACATTTCTCTTCTGCAAATTCATTAATCAACGGATTTTGCCTACATACTAACTTTCGGAAAGCAAGTGGTTGACAATAAATTAGCTTATTTTTTGAAGAAAAGTTCATTGATGAGCGACTCTAGGAGCATGGCAAACATTGGCCCGACGGCGGAATCCATCTTGATCAAGAAAACCTACATATTTTGATCACAAGGGCGAATCGTCTTGCCTTTCTATGTCAACTTATATCTGTTGTAATCTCATTAAGTGTGAAATAATTCGGTGAT